ACACGTACATAACTGGTCGAAGTGGGCACATGTTACTCTTCATATATCTCATGGAAATGAAAGGACTGCAACCCTATTCATGCTCAGAAAAATCATTTTGCGAAGGCTTTCCGTGATGATGTGAGTAAGGATGGGAGACAAGTAGCTTTGCATTGCACTTCAATCGTTCATTTCTAATTCCCTCGAAAAGAAAATAATTGTGCCAACTTAATTTGCTTTGCGTTAAACACGTGTGCTTTGAGACGAACATACTTTCCTTCTTTCGCGGATTAAAAGGATAGATTTCTAATGAGGTAAAGAACCGACTCTTAATTCTCATCGTGAGACTCCTGTACTTATCTATTAATAATATATCTCTGAGAACGTCCAAGGTACAGGAAGGAGGGGTACCAGCAAGAAGGTCATCGATGTCAAACCTCACCGGCATATTCTTACAAGTCAAGTTCAATCTTTTTTATTTCGGCTTCCCTAATTCAGGGTACCGCATAGCTGCTTTGTTCAAAGCGGAAACATAATATACAACCTCTAAGAAAAGATCTGTTAATAGACGCTGAATTGTTTGCTACATCGCTGTGGACAGGATTTGAACCTGTGCGGGTATAACCCATTGGATTTCAAGTCCAACGCCTTAACCACTCGGCCACCACAGCGCATTCACTAATATATGTGGGCTTAAAGACTGTACAGGATCTGCAGCTATTGCTGTCGCTTCTTCTAAAACGTTGAAACGGTAACTTTTGGCAGCCGCTCCTCTTTCTTCGAAGCTTCTCTCTCAGCTGGAATTCCTTATATACGAAAAACGAACAGCGCGTGCGTTAGATGTTTCGGTGTTCCAAACGTCAGGAATTTTGCTACAGACCGCAGACGCACTCAGCCCGCGGTTGAATTTACATATGGGAAAAGATTTTCGATCATTCCAACACAACGATCCTAGAGACGCGATCGAGCACACATAAGCCACAGAAATGAGCGAACAAAAGCAAGAGCTTGTGTGCTTCAGGTCTGTACTGCCTTATAAGGGCAAGAGCTGGCGGGAACAGCTTTCTTTTTGAAAAAGACGTATCATTCGCATTGTTGAAAAACCTAGTTTCAGAGTATCGTTCCTCGTGTAGCCCATGTAGCTCAGTCGGTAGAGCGTTAGGCTTTTAACCTAAATGTCCAGGGTTCGACCCCCTGCGTGGGCGACATTGCTTA